TAATTTTTTTGAAATAATTGATAATTGATAATTAATATTTAATGACTAATAATCATTAATATTTATAATTTAAAATATTTAATTTATTTGATTAAAATCAACAATTAATAACTATTTCTAAAAAATCAAAATAAACGTCCCTTTAAACTTCTGCATAAATGTGGCAATTAATTAATTCGTAACAATCCTCCAAGACTTGACTTTGTCAAAACTAATCCCTCAATCTCCAGAATTTGTCTTGTTAGAATACTTTCAATCCCATCCTTATCCTTTTAACTCCATTATCAAGAACGCAAAACCCAATAAAGTTTGAATATGCAGCAAGTTGGTCAGCCCTTAAACTCCTCCTACCACATGGCAGAAGCACATTGAATCCTAGCTTTGATTATTCATGGCGGCAACATTAGACTCCATCGCATCAGAGCTTAGCAAGACTCCAACCTTTCTTCTTTCATCTTTGTGGAAGACATGGGAAAATCTCAACCTTCCATCATCTATCAAGGACTCCTGGAACCATCCATTCCATAACTTGCTAATTATGGTGTAAACGGCCCCTAACCCCAAAAGAAAAAAAAAAAAGGGAGGAAAGAAAGAAAAGGAGCATAAGAGCATTTAGGACATTTCTTATAATCTTGAGAGATAAAGGTGTTTATAGTGCAAATGTCGATTATAATGTACATTTTGAAACATTTTCAGTTTATACGTTCATTATCCTAAAACCACACAGGTAAGTTAGATGAAATATACCCTTGATCCTATTTTACTAGGCTTAGATGGAAATTCTAACAATATCATGGATAACCAGAAGTGCTGGACCAGAATACAAAATCAACATTTGGTCTTGCCGTAAGTCGAAAAATGGGCGGCCCAGGGTCGGCAATGCCAATCTTCTCTGAGTTGAAATAGATTTCGAAGTAATTTTCATTTGTTGAAAATTTCAAATGAATTTTCTTTAATACAAACATTTCAAATCAAAGTAATTATGGCAGCTTTTTTTCCTCTACGTGATGTCATTATAATATAAATAGGATTAAAAATATATGTACCACAAATTACACAAATGATAATGATCCTAGCGGCAATTTTTTTTTTTTAAAAGGCAAAGTGCAGTTACACCCATTGTGGTTTTAAATGGCTCACTTAACCCCCTAAAATTATAAAGATATGTAATTGAACCCATATATTTTTAAAAGGTGTGCTTATTGCCTTATTCACTCAATTTATGAAAATGTGCTCAACCCCCTTTATTTTAGAAAATATGTACTTAATCCCAATTATTTTGACATTTTATCTTCACTTTTTTTTTTCCTTTTTATGAATGGAATTTTATTATTTAGAAGTACAAAAGTATTCCAACCCATATTTTGACCTTCAATATTTAATATTTTCACATTTTCATAATTTTAAACTTAAGTGCATATTTTTTTAAAAAATATGCATTTTTGTGATTTCAGACTTGAGGTACCCTCCTCAAGATCATAATAGACTAACTAAAATTGTGGTAAAAAAAAAGAAAAAAAGAAAAAAGGGGGAAAAAAAAATAAAGAAGGCAATGATGAAGTTTAAAGGAAAAGAAGTAGCAAACAAATAATTCGTT